GTACCTTTTTCGTCGCTCTGTGCGATGAGCTGCCTTCCCTTATCGCCAATCTCCAACATAAACGACTCATCAATGGCCTTAGCGCGATCATCCACGCGTAGTTCATAGTCGTCACTGTCTTCTAGTATGTTCCCGTCGGCATCCAGGATACTCTTGTTAAGGTGGAAGGTCCTGTCCATATCAGGCCCAGAGTCGCTATCCCCGTCATAGTCACCGGCTATGTATGGTTAGAGATATACAGGCACGTGTACATGAGTCTTGAGGTACCACCACACGCACCCGAGTCTTCCCCACGCACACACACCTGAGATTAAGTATAGCGTATGTATGGGACTGTGCCGATAGCACCAAGAACAACCCATAGCTATTTAGAGTTCAGGGTTTAGGGTTTAGGGTTTATGGTTTAGAGGTTAGAGTTTCTTATCAAGGACACGCCGTAGTCTGAGAGTCTGAGTGTAAATAGTGTACATACAATAGTATCGTGTATAAGATACCATGGATACAGGGGTTTCTACAGACATAATCAAGTAAATATACGTACACATCCTAGTCTGTAAGTGTTTTCTACAGACATGACCAAGCAAATATACGTATACATCCTATTCTGTAAGTATTTCTGAAGACATTACCTATTAAGTATACGTATACATCCTATTCTGTAAGTGTTTTCGTAACTATCTTATCGTTGAAATGACATCTCCCTGGGTCACTCTCTCGAGAGCGAGAGAGAGAGAGAACGAGAGAAAGAGAGTACGGATAATTGATGTCTATACACTCGTATCCACCTCTATCCGTTTTCAACCGTTAAGAAAAACTAAATAACCTTCAGCCCAGAATTACATGAATGCATGCAGAACCACGTGTGTGAGCCTAGGGATATATGTAGGCCTGAACGTCACTGCTAAGATACTATAGGCACGCGTGGTACTATGAATGTATAGGCACACATGGTACTATGAATGTATAGGCACACGTGGCACTATGAATGTATAGGCACACATGGTACTATGAATGTATAGGCACACGTGGTACTATGAATGAATAGGATAGTATAAATGTATAGGCGTACGTGATACTATGAATGTATAGGCACACGTGGTACTATGAATGTATAGGAACGCGTGGTACTATGAATGTATAAGATGGTATAAATGTATAGGCACGCGTGGTACTATGAATGTATAGGATGGTATAAATTTATAGGCACACGTGGTACTATGAATGTATAGGCAATCGTGGTACCATACGTAG